GCTAAAACACATTCACATCCTGCAGCCAGTATGAACCTTTTGCTGTAAAACTTTTTTTTTTTTGTCTTTTTTCGTGTCCGGCAACGGATCGCAACCTTCGGTGTCGCGCCCGCTCCTCCCTCAGCCAGTGAGCGGGAACCGGTCTGTATGTGGGATCCTAACCCTCGGCGGGAGCGCCGCCGCACTCTCAAGCAGCGCACTGTAGCAGTGCGCCACCGGGCCAGCCCATTGCTGTAAAACTTTTGAAAAGGATTTTATTTTTCTGCTTTTGCCATAATTTGGCTACCATAAACTTAATGAAATGTTAATCATTGCCTAATTTAACCATTATTGAAGCTTACAGAAAGCCTGTGTGTTGTAACCAATTAAGCCTCTTAGTAATTTCCCTTTTTGTTTTTTTTGTTTTTTTTTTTGCCTATGTGGAACTAGTAAACCTTTCTCCTTTTTCCAGGTCTTGAGCATATTTGTAGACAACCCCGCCCCCCCCCCAAAAAAAAAAACCAAATCTACTAGGCCCAGGCACTGAACCTATTAGGACCAATGACAAGGCAGCCTGCCAGGGAGTGGGTTCATGTTCGTCAGAGAGCTCGTGCAGATAATAGTTAGAGTTAAGTAAGAGAAGTGGGGAAAAAAAGCACGTAGCCTGGCAATGAGGGATAATTTTCCACTATATACCCTTTTATGCTTTTAAAAATTTTCCTCAACCATATGAAATCAGCTATTCAAGAAAATTAATTTAAAAATATAGTGAAACAAAAAAAGCAACTTTGGGCCTCACCCCCTAGAAATCTACTTTCATAGGAGGTCTGGGGTAAAGCTGAAACACTGGTGTTAGAAAGAAAAAAGAAGCTCCACCAGTGATTGTGATGGACAGCCAAAATAAGAAGAGAAAAATGCCCACTTTTAAACTGACACTGAAGCCTGTGCAGTAGGTAAGCTGTCGTCTGGAGAGGTGCTGTTTAACTGTGCCACTCAACAGCACGCAAAATATTTTTATGGTGTTCCAAGGCAAATGGAGGACATTGCCTGAGCTGGGAGAGAAGGCCCTGGGCCCCGCAGGATCCTGAGAGCTGAGGGGACGGAGGCTCAAGGATGCTGGGGGGCTCTGGTCTGTGGGGCAAGGTCAAGGAAGAGGGTGTGGGGGAACAGGGTGGCTTGTGAGCCCCCCTCAGGGTGGAGGAACACTGAGACCCATCAGAGGCCAATCTGAGCTGGTGGTAAAAGAGAATGATGCTGGGTTTTGTGCTGTCAGTTCTGAGACAATCAAGGAACCAGCCGGGGTAATCATGTGGCGATTTGTCCATTATTTCTGTGTGGCCCTGAGAGCTGCAGCGCTCTCTCTGGAACATTCAGTTTGTGGTTTTGATCATGTCTGAGCAGGTTGCCAGGCGTATGAATGCTGGGTGGGAGAGAGATGCTGTCTACCACCGTTCTGTGGAAAAGGACTCAGAGAAATGCGGTTTTGGTGTCTTTCCCGACCCTCGGCCACCTCCTGTCAGGATCTGAATGTGCTTTTGTCTTGCAGGGATGGCGCCCCCTACTGTGAAAAGGACTACCAGGGGCTCTTTGGAGTGAAATGTGAAGCCTGTCACCAGTTTATCACAGGGAAAGTCCTGGAGGTAAGTGTTCCCCTCAAAGCCAGCGTCATTTTCCTCAGAGGCCCCCAGAAACACATGAGAGAGCCTGCTTTTCCATCTGCTCTTCACCTGTGGGGGAAGGACAGTAGTTGCAGGTGACCGATGTCTCAGAGAATTAACGTGCTGTATTGTCCTCAGAGGCAGTTTCTACCAAAGGCTCATGTGGAAGTTGGAATGATGGAAAATATGAAGGGAAAAAAAGAATGATAAAGGTTCTCTTGGGAATTATATAGAAGGAAAGGTTATATTAGACTGTTTATTTTTAGAAGTTGGAAGAGGAAATGAAGAGCGTGCCAGAGTCACGTGTGTGTGGGTATGTGCATGAACGTGTGTGCATGAGGACGTGTGCGCACGTCGGGGCGTACTGTGCACACTCAGGGAGCAGAGGCTCAGAACCGAAGCTGAGGGAGGAAGGGTGGGTGAAAGGTGGAGGTGTAGACTTCCCCACCCTTCAGTAACCACATCCTGTGTGACCCAGGGCACCCTGCAGCCCGGGCTCAGTTGAAGGCTGTCAGGTTCAGGTGTGGTCACCTCGAGTGGGAAGCTTTGTTCCTGTTTTCTCAGCACCTGCCCCACCGGTGCCTGCTTCTGTGCTGAGCTGGGCTCCTCTCGGAGTTCCGGGGCCAGGGTTCAGAGGGAGTCCCTGCCCCACTTCTCGCTGGCCTGTGGGGTGCCAACCACGTCCAGTGGAAAAAGTAAAGACTGCCTGACCCACGCCCCGCATTTCAGGGTGGAGAGTGTGTGCCCAGCAGGGGTGGGTCAGGAGGTTCGGCAGCTGGGAGGATGCCCAGCTAGGCAAGCAGCTTGTCACCTCGCTCTGCGAGGCCCCAGGGCAGAGTCCACCTAACCACGTTCACATTTCCCAGCAGGGCATATTGCAGAGACGTAGGACACAAATCCGAAGGGCCCTGACAAGTGTCTTTCTCTTCCATGGGATTCCACAGCAAAGGTCCAGTGTGCGTGCCCTTCCGTATCCCACTGTAAGCTCTTTCCATGAAACACCGAGGAGCCTTGTTGGCTCTGTGCTAGGATCTTGTGCATCTGATTGTATCTGGGAAATAAGGAAGTGACTGTCGTCGGTGCAGTTGCCTCTTAGCCAGAGGAAGAGGGTATAGGAAGAGGGAGCAGCACCCACGGAGGCTCAGAGGCGAGGAGCCCTGCAGCACAAGCCAGAAACAAAACGTCAGTTGGGCAGGAGCACGTGGTGAGAGATGGTGCTGGAGAGATGGGGAGCGGCCAGAGTGTGACGGCCTCTAGAGTCACACTCAGGAGCTTGGGCTTTATCCTGAGTGGTGGGGAGCCATCAAGTGGTTGTAGCTGGAGTGTTGTGGGATTGGATCAGGTTGTGTGAAGAATGGATGGGAGGACTCAATCCACCATATATACACACAGGTGCATAGCAGCACTACTCACAGCAGCAAAAGGTAGAGACACCCAAGTATCCATCAGCAGGTGACTGGATGAACAAAGTGTGGGACATATGTACAGTGGAACAGCATGTGGCCTTACATGAAGCAGTGGTGCATACTGCCACATGGATGAACCTTGAGAACGTGATGCTAAGTAAACGGAGCCAGTCACAGAATGCCACGTGTTGTATGATTCCGTTTATATAAGCTATCCAGAATTGGTAAATCCATAAAGACAAAGCAGATTGGTGGGTGCCAGGGGCTGGGGGAAGGGGAAATAGGGAGTAATTGTCTAATGGACACAGGGTTTCCTTTTGGGGTGATGAGAACGTTTTGGAATTAGATAGTGGAGGTAGTCGCACAGCATTGATCTTGTGCTAAATGCCAAATGAAACGGTTCATTTTATACTATCTGAATGTCACCTCCAATATTTGGAAAACTGGCTTTGATGGGGGTGAGGGAGGAGACAGGGTGGGCAGTTACAAGATAGGAGACAACTGCAGAACTCAGCACGAAACAGTGGTGCCACTGGCTGGAGTGAAACCTGAGAAGTGGACCCCACTCTACACACACAGTTAGGATGGGAGGAGTTCCCATGGCCTTTCCAATAAAGCTTTGATTGTCAGCCCAAGGACCCTTCAAAACTAGGGCTTTGGCTCAGGGAGAGGCAAATCCCCAGGAAAGCTATTGGAGAAGATGGTGTGACCCACCCAGGAGGCAGCTTGAAGTCTGAGTGGTCATATCACAACACTTTTTTCTTCTTTTCTTTTTTTTTTGGTGGCTGGCCAGTACGGGGATACGAACCCTTGACGACCTCGGTGTTGTAACACCACGCTCTAAGCAACTGAGCTAATGGGCCAGCACACAACACTCATTTTGGTATGAGGGGTTGGTGCCTCGCCACCTGTCCCCTGAATCTGTCCATCATCCTTCTCCAGAGCCCCAGAGAGCTCTTCTCAGGAGGTGCCCTGAGTGGGGCCCCCAGAAAGCATTTCCCTTGGGGTTTCCCAGTTTGATCTCCCATGCAGGACTGAAATAAACCTGTCGAGTTGGGAGCAACTGGGAGATTTCATCTTAAAACAATAAAACACCAGAACCATTTCCCAGATGTGCAGCCATAGGAAGAGAGGCAGGAAGATCTTGAACATATCCCCAAGCTTGTGACAGTCATGTTGGCAGACAGCACAGATGGAAGCAGCTGTCTCCTCAGGGAACATGGAGAACTGTACTCCCCAAAAAGAGGTGGGGAGGCAAAAGGGGTGTGTGTGTGTGTTGATTGCCTTCAGATTTAGTTCAACAGCTGTGGGAAGGAATATCTAAAAGCTGGATCCAAGAACATGCCATTTGGAAGAAACATCTGCTCACTCTGTTTTCTCCCTGAGGCCCGAGCAATTTGGTGTTCACTGGGGCTGCAAAGGCCTCATCCCAAATTGGCTTCAGGTTTCAGTGAAGGCCGTATTGTGAGGGTTAAGGCTTGGAGACCTGGCATGTGATGCCTTCAGCGTTGGGACTGGGAGTAGTTTGCACTGGTCTGGACTTGGATTCAGGATCCACCCAGCAGGCATGCTGTCTGCCTCAGAGGGATGTGCAACCTAGAAAAATGTCCTGCAAGATTATCACTCTGGCATGTGACAGCTTGTGAGTCAGCTCGGCTTGGTCACCAAATATGAAGCAGGGCTGGCCTGCACACACTCTGCCCTCCCCCTCCCCCTGCCTGTCATTCTCTGACCCAGTTGTTGGGGAAACATTATGATTGCAGATTCATTGTAAGTACTATGAACCTTGGTTTTGTGTGTTTTTTAAGAATTTATTTTATCTATAGAGATTATAAATGTATTCATTTCCTGTTTTTGCTTTAAACGATGACAGCTTAAAACAA